CTTGATTTGGTGGTCATTTGTAGGGTGATAGAGATCAGTGGTTCTCAAACCTGGCTACACATTAGAATTATCTGAAGAGTTTGAAAAATCTTGATGCCCAGGTGTACCAAAATACCCAAGATATTTACCAGAAATTTCTGTCCTTTCAAATCCTTCCTCCATGTTTCCTTTCCCATACACACAACCCCCAAACCCTCTACCTCTTCTATTTCCATTGCAGTTATTATTTTATTTTGATTATTTTTCTCTAGCAGGCTATTTTAAATATGTGTGTGGTGCTCAATATGAACTTTCCTCTTGTAGCAAATCTACAAGTACTGAGTATTGCCCATCTCTTCACTAGTATTTTCAGATTTAGAAAAAGAAACTTACAGACCCTTTTTAAAATTTCTCCCAGTTCCTAAGTAAATGTGGAGACTCTTTATCTGTCTATCATCTATCTATCTATCTATCTATCTATCTATCTATCTATCTATCTATCATCTATGTATAATCTATCATCTATTATCTATCATCTGTCTCTACATCCATCCATCCATTCATTTACTCATCTATATATCCATCCATCCATCCATCCATCCATCCATCCATCCATCCATCAATCCAACTTTGGCACTTTCAGGACAGGGTAGCTAGCTCTGGTATACAAGTATGCTGTGAGTTAATCCTTTCTTCTTAATTTGCTGATGTCTCTGCATAGTTATTTCATCTTGTATATCTCTTGTTAGCTTCTTTTTGTTTGCCAATTTTTGCTTCTTTTACCCACTGAGTCCTCCAAATGTTAACACCCATACCTGTTTTAATTACCCAGAACACCAGCTAGCACAAAGCAGGTTCACAGGTTGTAGTAAGTATTTTTTCCAAGAAAGATGTCAAACAACTCTTCCTAAGAGAAAGGTTAAGGGCCTGCGTAACTCAGCTGAACATATTAGCTCTCGCTTCAGTGTGAATTTTAAATTAAGATGGAAAACACAGCTGGCAGGGTGAGAGCTGTACATTTTCTTCTGCCCACTGAGGTTGGGACTGACCAGGTGCTCTGTAGTTTTGGGAGGGGCATGGATACAGGACAGGCTTGGAGAGCCTTTTGATCTGGGTTGCAGCACAGTGATTCTGTCTGGATGATTCATCTTCACTCCATTTCTATTTTCCCCCAGGCAACACAATCAATCCTCTTAAACAGTGGTTCTCAGATTCATTACCCCAGGAGTTCATAAGGCTGAAAACATAAATAGGGTCAAGAAAAGTTTAGATAAATTAATGAGAGGCAAGCTCATTGATTTGTGTTTTTGAAGGGAAAGGGAAGTGAAGGATGTGAGTATCCCTACCTCTGAAATCACCACCTAGACTAGCCCTCTCTTAACAAATGTCTGCTTGGCCCTGTTCTCAGAGATGGTCAAACTGCATTTCCTACATGTTCCAGGAGGACAGATGCACAGTGAGGTCCCTGATTCTACACATATCTGGGACAATGTCAGCCTGAGACACTTATGTGTGTGTAAATGATGCTGTCTTTGTGTCATCATAAATTCCTAACAAGAAATGGAAGTTTCAGAAGACCCTGGATGTGCCTGCTATGCTAATAGCCCTTAAATATTTGTTTTTTAAAATTTTGTTTTTGGCTTAAGACAACAGAAATTTATTCTCTCATAGTCTTGTAGGCCAGAAGTCTGAACTCAGTCTCCCTGGGCAGGGCCACACTCCCTCAGGAGACTCTGGGGCAGAATCTATGTCTTGCTCCAGCTTCTGGTAGCTGCTAGCACTCCACAGCCACATCACTCCAATCCCTACTCCTGCCTCTACCAGCCTCCTCCTTTGTGTGTCTAATTTCCCCCTGATTATCTCTTATAAACATTTGTGAGGGCTTTTAGGATCCACGCAGGTAGTGCAGAATAATATTCTCATCTCCAGACCCTTAACTTAATCACACATGCAGGAACTTTGTTACCCAAGGTAACATTCACAGGTTCCAGGGATTAGGACCAGGGATTATGTTATTTTACCCAGGTATTATCAGAGAAATTTATTTTTCTCATAACAGAGGTCTGGAGATAGGCAGATGAGGCCTGGTAATGCAGTTGTGTAATGTCAGCAGTATGATTGTTCTTACGTAATTGGCCAAATACATTATAAGTAAATATTAAATCAGAGTTGTACTAAATGCCTAATAAACTGCTGAGCAAGCAATCTGTGGTTGATTCTATTAAGACCAGTAAGAAAACCACACAGGGAAACCTAAGAGAATATTCTAAAGCAGATGTCTAACTTTCTGTCCCTTCAACACCCATCTAAAGAAATTCTTTAAGAAGAGTGGATACAGCTTACTATCAAATCACTTCAATACTGCCTTTCAGATAAACTGGAGAGAACAACTTAGAATTTCTTCTAAAAAGTGTTGACTTTAGGCCTCATTATTTTGCTTTTCAGAAATGTTCCCGACATTGCAAATAACTTATGCAGAGTGAAGGATGACAGGTCAATTAGCTGCCAAATCAAGAATGAGAATTCTGGGGGACGTTAGTACTGGAAAATTCCACTTACCTGAGCAGCCAGAGCCCAGGGGAAGCTGACATTTGGGAGAGAATAAATACAAACAGTGTTTTCCTGATGCCTTCAATAATGTGGCCACAGAAAGAACAAACTAAAGAAATTCAACCAAAACCAGATAATAACAACTTCCTGTTGCTTTAAAAAAAAATAACTACAACTAATTATGGGATGCTCCAGCAATAACAATAAACAAAAGGGAAGAAATACGCCTTTGACTCTTGGGGTGCCAAACGGCAATAATCAGTTGCCACGGATAATTGTATGACCACTGACCACAAACCATTTCCTTGGCCATCCAACAATGAGAACTGGAGAACATAAGGGGACCAGGGATTCTTCTTGTGTTAAAGGTGGGATTGCGACACAGAGATGCTAATTAGGTCTGAGCTCCATCGCTAAACTGAGAAGCATGATCCTCTTTTCTTAGGAACTGAATTGTCAAATGGCTGGAGGGGCACAGGGCATGTTTTCTTTTTTAAGAGGAAACACTCATTATCCTGGATTTAGTTAAGTAGAGAACAATTCTTAATATTTTCTGAAATTAGAAAAACAAAATGCTAATTCTTTAAGGAAATCAACTCCAAACCAGGAATGGCAAATATTATTAGAATATCCAATTTATTGGTCACAAACGCTAATATGATTGAATGGATGCAGATAGACTGCAAAATTATACATTTCCTCTAAGTTTTCATGGCCTGGTTCATTGTTTTATTTGAGTGAGTCAGGGTGCTGTATGACTTTCTTCATCCTAAGCCCTCCTCAAGCCGGGGTGTGACCCCCTAGCAGGCAAGGCCTGTTGCAGTGTTAAAATGAGTTACTAGCTCTTCTTGCTGCCAAACATGAGATGATTTTTTCCACAGATGTGGGATAAGCAATGATAAAACTGCCCAGTCTGAGCCTTTTATTGTAAATAAAAAGTGAAAACTACTTCATCATGAGGTAACACAGCATCTTAATAGTGGATCCAGATAATTTTTTTTTTTTTATAAAAAAGACCATATAACATAATGGAAAAGAGAAAATTTGATGCCATTGCTGGTTATTACGGTCCAGAAGGAGAAGTAGTAAAGAGGCTGAAAGATGCTAAATGTAAAAGTTAGGGATGATACTTATTCTTTTGGATTATGTTTACTTTTAAGGCTTTTATCCTTTGAGTTTTTTAAACTCATAATATCCTTTAAACTCTAGATATTGAAGCAAAATTTTATGAAGTCCAGTTTTGATAAAACTCCCCATTTATTCTTATATGTGCTAGGAAGGGACGGAATAAGGGATGGAGATTGCTCATGGTTAGGTCCCAAGTTCAACGAGATATTTACTTGAAGTCAATGGAAGTTGTACAACTGCACATGAATTTCCTTGATTCATTTTTGTTTTGCAAAGCTTTGTTGAGGTTGCCATGCAATAACTGCGCAATTACAATTGTGATGCATTTTGACATTCCCATGCACCCGTGAAACTATCACCATAGTCAAGAGAGTGAATAGAGCCATCGCCCTTTAAAGTTTGGGTCCCTCAAAACCCTTCTCCTCTCTGCTCCCCACTCTGCCCTCCATCCCATGGCATCCACTGATCTGTCATTATAGATTAGTTTGCCTTTTCTAGAGTTTTATATAAATGCAGCCATGCAGTATATATTCCATTTTGTCTGCCTTATTTCCCTCAGCATAATAGTTTTGAAATTCACCCATATTTTTATGTCTATTAATAGTTCATTTCTTTCTATTCCAGGTAGTATTACATTATATGACTATACCAAAATTTGTTTATTCAGTTTTTGATAGACATTTGTGTTATTTTCAGTCTGGGGAAATTATAATAAATAATTTAAGGATGTTCATGTAAAAGTCATTGTATAGACATAATTTTTTTACAGTCACAGGCACATGCCTGAATAGAATGGCTGGATGTATAGTAAGTGTATGGTTAATTTTCAGATTTTGATGTTTTTCATTCACTGAGTTCAGAATATTTTAAAATTTCCCATGAGACTTCTTGGACTTATTGGTTATTTAGAAGTATGTTATTTAATTTCCAAATATTTGCTAATTTTTCAGATATTCTTTGATTTTTAGTTTAATGTCAGTGTTAAAGAATATATGTTGTATAATTTCTATCCCAAATTTGTTAAAGTTTATTTTATGTCATAGCATATGGTCTATCTTGATGAACAGTCCATGTGTACTTGAGAAGAATGCGTATTTTGCTATTTTCTGAAGGCGTGACCCTTAAATGTCAGTTAGGTCAAATTGTTTGGATGTGTTGCTAGGCTCTTCTACATCCTTACTTATTTTTTGTCCACTTCTATCAATGACTGAAAGGTGCTGAAACTTCAAAAAAAAAAAACAACCTGTAGATTTGTCTATTCTTTATTTATTTTAAAATCCTGTTGTTTGGTAGACACATGTTTGGAATGATTACTTTTTTCTTTTTCCTCTTTTACTTTTTCCCAGGGAAGAGCATGAATGCAGTCCCCCACTGCCAAGATTATGCAGTCAAGTTTCCCATGTTTGGGGAAATCCTAGGGGTCAGCACATCTGGAGTGCAGTGTGGATTAGCCTTGTTCTGGGAAAACCACAATCGTAATCATGGTGTCTCCCCTGCCAGGTGAGTATGGAATTGTTATGTTTTTGTGGAGAATTAGATCTTTCTCTATATTGTCCCACTTTATCCCCTGTAGTAGTTCTCATTCTTAAGTTTATTTTTCCTGATATCAATATAGCTTCTTTGGCTTTCTTTTTATTAGTATTTGCATGCCATATCTATTTCCATTTTTTTATTTTTAACATAGCTATTACTTTATATTTTATAGACAGCACAGAGTTGGATCTTATTTTGATTTCTATTTAACTGGATAATCTTTGTCTTTTCACTAATGTGTTTAGGTAATTTACATTTAATGTAATTATTGATATGGTTAGATTTAAATATACTATCTTGAGAAATGTTTCCTATTTGTATCATTTCTTCTTTTTTTCTTCTTTTTGAGTGACTGTTTTTCATGACTCCATTTCATCTCCACTTCTGAATCACTATTTCTTCCTCTTAAAAATACCTTTTCCACTTTTCCCCTAGGATTTATAGTATATATACTTAATTAATCAGAATTCAAATAATGTTCACTGTTTTACCTCTCATATGAGAACCTTGTAATAGTATATTCCAAGTCCTCCCCTCCCATTTGTTATGTCATTTTGGTCATATGTGTGCTTTAAACATACAATATCTTTCGTTTTTCTTTAGATAGTTACCTTTCAGAGCAATTAAAAATAAGAAAAAAAATAAATTTTATATTTGCTTTCATTTATTCCATTTCCTTTGCTCTTCTTTTTCTTATGTTGATCCAAATGTCTGTCTCGCAATTTACATCTTCAACCTGAAAAACTTCCTTTAACATTTCTTGTGTGAGCGAGCCTCTATTTCTTCCTTACTCTTTGAAAGCTCATTTCTTTGGGTTTAGAATTCTGAATTGAGAGGTTTTTTTAAGGTACTTTAAAGACATTACTGCATTGTCTTTTGACTTACATGGTGTCTGATGAAAATCTGCTTTGTTCTTATCTTTGTTTCTCTACACTTAATATGCCCCCGCCCCCCCCCCCCAGCTGCCTTCAAGATTTTCTCTTTGTCATTGTTTTTCAGTAGTTTAAATATCCTCTTTGTTTTCTGAACTTCTTGGATCTGTGGCTTGGACTATGCCATTGATTTTATTAGACTATTTGACATTATTATATAGCTCTTGGATGCTCTTTTTAAAAAAGTTATTTTTCTTTGTGTTTTTGTTTGAGTTGTTTCTATTAACTTGAAGGTCACTGACTTTTTTCAGCTGTGTTAACTCTACTGATGAGCATGTGGGAGGCATCCTTAATCTCTGTTTGTGTTTTATTTCTTGCTTTTCTACTTCTTTTACAGTTTTCATCTCTTCATTAAAATTACCCATCTGACCTTGTGTGTTGTTCCCTCTTTCATTATTGCCGTTGACATTTTAATCAGTGTGTTAATGTTTTATTGCTATTTGTTTTCTGTTTGACTCACTTGTTCTTTTTCCCATTTCTCCTTTTTACTGCTTTCTTTTGAAAGTATTTTTTTATGATTCTATTTTATTTTCTTTACTTTTATATTAACTACAACTCTTTGTCTTGTTGTGTTAGAGCTGCTTTAGGATTTATAGCACACTCAAGTGCTTAACTTAGCACAGTTAACTATAGTTAACTTAGCACAGTCTGTCTTCAAGTAACATTGTACTGCTTCACATTTAGTGTAAGAACTTTACAGTAGTATATTTCCAGCTCTCACTTCTTGGCCTTTATGCTGTGGTTATCATATCTTATACTTCTATATGTATTATAAATCCCATACTACAGTATTATTGTTTTTGCTTTAAATCTGGAATTGGTAAACTAGGCTCAATAGCCAAACAAGCTTCCCACCTGCTTGGGTAAATAAAGTGTCACTGTAACATAGCCATGCCAAACAATTCACATACTTCCCAACATCCGCTTTCACCACGCAAGAGCACAGCTGAGTAGCTCTCACAGAGACTGTCAGGCACACAACACCTAAAATAGATACTTTCTGACGCTTTCTAGAGAAAAAGTTTACCTATCTTTATCCTAGATAGATAATTATCTTTTAAAGATGTTCAAATAATAAGAAATAAATCACAAATATTTACCCACATAGTTACCATTTCTGCTGTTTTTCATTCTTTTGTGTAGATACATATTTCTATTTGTTATTTTCCTGTGTCTAAAAGATTTCCTTTAATATTTCTTGAAGTGCAGGTCTGATAGTGAGGGGTTCTTTAAGCTGCTATATTTCTGAAAAAGTCTTTTTTGTCTTCCTTTAAAAAATATTTTGCTGGTTGTAGAATTCTATGTTGACAAATATTTGTTCACTACTTTAAAAGATGTTACTCTACTGTCTCCTCATTTGTGTTGTTTTGATGAGAAATAGGCTTTCATCCTTATCTTTGTTTTTCTGTATACATCATGACCTTTTATGGACTGCTTTTAAGATTTTTTTTTATCACTGGTTTTGAGCAATTTGATCATGATGCATCTTGATGTAGTTTTCTTCATATTTCTTGTGTTTGGGTTTGGTTGAGCTTTTTGAGTCTGTGGGTTTATAGTTTTCAACAAATTTGCAAGGCTTTCAGCAATTATTTCTAATATTGTTTCTGTCTCTCCTTTTTTCCTCCATTTTTACTGAAAAGTAATTTACATATATCACTGTATAAGATTAATGTAAGCAGCACGATGGTTTGATTTACATATATTGTGAAGTGATTACCACAATAGGTTCAGCTAACATCTATTTTCTCATATACTGTATTTTGCCACATAAAACATGCACCCATGTTTTTGCATGTATTACACACAGGATTATTATACCTGTGGAATGTAGTCATCATAACCATGTATAACTTGCATCCTTATTTTTCCCTCAAAAATTTGGGCAAAAAGTACACATTATATATGACATAATACAGAAGATACAACAAAAAGAAAAGAAAAAATAAAGGAAAAAAATTTCTTGTGGTGAGAACTCTTAGGATTTACTCTCTTAACAACTACCCTAGATATCATATAGGAGTGTTAGCTTCTATCCCACTCTGAAGATTCCAATTATGCATATGTTAGGCTCTCGAAGTTGCCCACATCTCATGAATGTTCTGTTTACTTATTTATATTTACTTTTCTTTGTATATTTATTTGGGATAGTTTCTATTGCTATGTCTTCCAGTTTACTAATATTTTCTTCTGGAATGTTTAATCTGCCATCAATTCCACCTGTGTATTTTCACCTATAAGAGATCTTTGTATGTCCTTTTTGGTTACATTTACATATATTCTATATTTCTTCTTAACATGGTCAATCTTTTCTGTAGTTTTTTGAGCATATGGAATACAGATGTAATAATTATGTTAAGATCTTTGTTCTTACCATTGCTGTCAGTTCTGAGTTGGTTTTGACTGATTTATATTTTTATTCCTGCTGCTTTTCATGCTTGGTAATTTTCTTATTAGATGCCACACATTATGAGTTTTATCTCTTGGCAGCTAGGTTATTTTATGTTTCTATAAGTATTTTAGAGTTTAGTTCTGAAATGTGGTTAACTAACTTGAACATAGTTTGATCCTTTTGGGTCTTGTTTTTAAACTTAATTAATATGGATCAGGATAGCATTTATTATGGGGCTATTTTTTTATCCCAGTACTCAGACAAGATTTTCTGAATACTTTTGGTTGGCAGAATTCTAAGAAGGTCTTGGTGTTTCTGCTCCTTGGTGTTACCCCTATGATTATGTTACAGTACATGTAAAAAAGAGATTTAGCAGCTATAATTAATATTACTAATCAGTTTAACTTAAAATAGAGAGATTATCCAGGTGGATCTAGCCTGTATGAACTTTCAAAAGCAAATACTTTTCTCCATGTGGTTGCAGAAAAGTAGATAAAATATTCCAAGTACAAGAGGGTTTCAATGCATTATTCATGGCTTGAAAATGCAGGGTGTCATTTGGAAAGTATCTGAGAGTAGCTTCTAGGAGCTAAGAGCAATCCTTGGCCAACAGCCAACAGGAAGATGGGAACCTCAGTCTTACAACCACAGGAACCAAATTCTGCTAATAACCAGAATGAACTTGGAAACAGATTCTTCCCCAGAACCTCCAGGTAAGAGACCAGCCCAAGTGACACTTTGATTTTGGCTTTATGAGATCGTAGACAGAGAATCCAGTTAAGCCTGCCTTGATTTGTGACCTACATAGCTGTGAAGCAATAAATGGGTATTGTCTTTAAGTTTCTAAGTTGTGGTACATTATTACACAGTGATAGAAAACTAATATGGTAGTCTACATTACCATTCACAGGCACTATTCCCTGACCTGAAGTAGCTCTGATCCTTTTCTAACCCTTTTCTATGGTTCTTCCCCTGGCATTTGGCTGTTAGTTCACATTCCTGTGCTGGCTTGAACCCAGCTGAATACTCAAGGGGGTCCTTCTGAAGGTCTCCAGAATTCTCTCTGAACAGCTCTCTCTATTCTGGAACTTTGCTCTGCACACTTTAGCCTCTTTACATTTCCAGCTCTGTCACCTTGACTCTGCCTAGGCTCTTTTCTCCCTGTGCTGCAGCCTGGAAACTCTGTCCAGGAAGTACGCTGGCGATTAGGGCTCATTTAATTTGTTTAATGTTTCTCTGAGAGCACTGCCCTTTTTTGCCTCATATCCTATGTCTGGAAAGCCATTGTTTCATATATTTTGTCTAGTTTTTGGTTGTCTCAGGAAGGAGGGTAAATTCAATCTCTGTTATTCCATTTTGATCAGAAGCAAAATTCCTCAGATAAATGCACTTGAAATCATGCATTGTTTAAATCCAGTTTGGGTAAATCATTCAAAAATGCTTATCCTGGCAACGGTGGTGTTTCATCATCCTCTGAGCTTATAGAATGAGGGCACCATTTTAATTATAGCAATCTACCAATATTTTTATGTAGGTGGGGTTGAAATATTAAAACAAAAATTCTAGTGCTGTCACACCCTAATCCAGGCCTGTTAAGTTCTGAAGAGGTACGATAGATTGTCTGAAAGTTGTGATTTCCTTACAGTTCAGTTTT